GTTCAGTGAGGGAAAACTTGATCGAGATTGTATTTAGATTTTGTCAGCGCACTCCGTCTTACAGATGTTTCCGCGTGGTTTTGTGGACATAAATTAATTCATAGAATAAATTATTAATCAACAAAGGACCCGTTGAAACAGAATTTTAGGACTCAACCTCCATTAGGTATATCATGATGCCCGCGAGAATCGACAAAATTTATAGTTTCGAAAATTTGCTTTGCATATTTGGAATTCAAGGGTCTTGGATATTTAAAAGTTGCAAAATCAAGTGTATATTATCAAGACAGGTATATTATTTTACTGCTAAGATTGGGATTTATTCTAATCTTTGAGTTTGGCTTACTATTTTGATTGCTCTAGTCTTCTTTGTCTCCGTGGTTACCAACAGGCAGCAGGATTTCGATGACCACTGACAAATAGACGTGCATATAAAATATATTAAAGTTCACACGGCAACCAGGTGGACAATCAAACATGGTTTGATGCTACTCTGGTTTGCAGGTTTAATGAATGTAACCGAAGAAGTTACAATTCATAGACCCAACGTTTCGACACTCCTGTCTAGTGCCTTCATCAGGAGTGATCCTAACGCTGCAACAAGAGGTCCTCTTACATGATCACTAATTAGCTGCCTTTTTTCTGACGAGGTGTAAATAGGCGTCAGGAAGCAAGCCGCCATCGTCACGATTTTAAGGAGCGTGGGCGGAGTTGACATGCCAAGCCTCCAAACAAAGGCACTGGTAGTCACAGTATGAAATTATAAATTTACGAATCCGTAAAGATGCCGTCAAGTAAGTGTAAGATCCTCTATACGCGTCTTATAGAACTTCTTTACACTCTCGTAAAGAATGTCTTAACGCTTTGAAAACGATAGTACGTAAAGATCACGGAGAGACTAAAAACGTTATCTTTACGTGCCTTGTAAAATTCGTATAAAGAATATTTACGATATTTTACAGTGACTGTAAAGCGAACAGAAAGGCGATCTTTACGCGTTATTAAACTATCGTAAATGGACATTCTTGAATTCCCCGCACCCAAAAAACTGACAACCAGAAATGCGGCGCGGGATAAGCAGACAATTCACAATCAGTGGCAAAAGCATATAAGGATACAATATAAGGCAATGTTCATTAAGCAAACATATTTACAGTATAATAGACAGCTAATCGCTTGGATACCATAAGGGTACTGTCCAAAAATTGTTAAGCATATCCACCTGCGGCAAGGATTCTGTGTCATCGAGCAACGTTAGGCCATCAGAATTAATTGGGAAAATGTAAATCCCTCCATACTGCAACAAACAACACAACTCGCGCAATGTTTATCAAGCAAATCACATACTGAAAATTAAAGAGCCAAATTTCTAGACACCACAAGGGTATTTTCCAAAGATTCATCGACATAACCATCTGCGGCTTGGATACTGCGCCAACCACCATGTCTACGCCATACTCTCCCAGAAACTCCGCTGCGTGCTGCTTGGGAAGCACCACCTGAACGAAGGCTATGTAAACCAAATTCGTTCGAGTCCAAACCAAGTTCGGAAATCATTTGACGAAACTGTTCCCGTGCCCGAGAATATGACAGAGCAGCTTGTCGCAGCTTGTACCCGGCACCCAATTTCTGGCAGAGACAAAATAAAGACTGAGATGGTTGATGCTCTCCGCGCTCAAGGAATAACTCTAACAGTTTCACTGGACAAGAGCTGGAAGGTAAACGAGCAACTTTAACCACAGATCCCTGACGGAATTGATCGTTCTTACGCCTGCCCAGGAAAATAGACATGTGGGTGGCGCAAAACCTTAAGTCACAGGCACGTAAGTCACGCAGCTCTGACCAACGTAGGAAAGCACAAAAACCAAGCGCAACCAGCGACACCATTTGTAGGTTCGGTAGAGAAGCACGAGGGTGACCATAGGAACGAATCAGCGCCCTGACGTGATGAGATTCAATAGGCTGCTTTTTCCTAGATGGACCAGCCAGGAGGCGTTTAAAGCCAGCCAAGGTCTGAGAAACGAGCGGATCGTCAACAGGATTAGGACATCCAAGTTTCTTATGTAGCCATGCAATGCCATAAGCTGCTCCAAGGATTGACGAGCGAGATAAGCCTCGGTCTGAAAGACTTGTTAAGTAGAGAGCAACTGCGGTTGGGTTAGACTGTAAAGGAGGAAACGAGTAACACTTGCACCAGTCAATCCATCGATTGGCTGCCCCTGCATAGGAAGACACGGTTGAAACGGCACAGTCATTAAGTATGACAATCTTTAACAGTTCTACAAGCCTCTGAATCTCCGCGTTGCTCCGTTGGTAAGGCGACAAGCCTAAAGTGAAAATCAACAATGTCCAAAACATGGCATTTTAAAGACAGGAACAACATCCAATCGCTACAGAACACTAAACGCCCAAGAAACACATCGTCTGCAACGAGAAACTGCCCACATGGCAAGTAAACACAGCACCAGCACACACTCCAGCACAAGGAGGCTTGGCCCACTCGGCGTCAACTGGTAAGCAAATCCACACAAAGGATAGAGGAGTCCACTTGACTCTAAAAACTAACACACTACTGTGTCGGCAGTACCCTCTCGGCTTGCTTCAGCTGCACAACTCGTGCGTACTAGTACAGTTCCAAGTCCACTGACTTGCAAAGAGTAAAGGCCCACACCTAGGCCAAAGAGGCTCAGATAGAACAAAAACAAATAATTAGGATGAATAACTCGTTCAAGGTACTCATCTTATACCCGAAAAAACGTTCTACAGCAAAGCTAAGGAAACACAATTCTCAAAGCAAATACTCTACACGAGGGAATACCATGCCCGAAAAGATCCGCGGCTGCGGAACCAGGGAGAAAAGTAGATTCATGTAAAGGAATCTCCTGCCAGTCAAGAACAAAAGGGTGGAAAACCCCGGGGCTTGGAGACACCAACGGCCACCAATGAGCAGACTGCCAAAAGGGGATAATGAGAGTGCCCTGCTCTCTACCCAGCTTCATGTGATTGATAACCCTGGGAATAAGGAACACTGGGGGGACCAACCAATTGTTTTCCCCTCCCCAGCTGACGGTAAAAGCATCAACAGTTTCGGTCCCAGGGCACCACCACCGAGAACAAAACCTGGGCAACTGGAAAGAATTATGACTCGCAAAACGATCTACAGTGTGGGGTCCCCACAGAATATCCAACTGGCGAAAATGGACAGGGTTGAGCATCCAATCATCGGTGTCGACAACTTTCGACCAATAATCAGCTTTGAAATTAAAGTAGCGAGGTATCCACTCCGCAGAAAAGCGAATACCGGCTTCATGGCACAAACTGTAAATGGCAACGGCTTCTTTTTGCAAATGAGGCTTACTACTGCCGACGGACAAAATACTGCAGACGCTCTGATTGTCAGATCTATGCTTGCACTCCTTACCCGCCAAGAGACCGGAAAACGACTGAAGAACAAATCTAATTGCACGAATCTCGCGGAAAGAAGAGCTGCATAGGGCTTCGGAACCCAACCAGTTCCCTCTAGCGATGTGCGTACCGAATTGAACAATAAATCACGCCCAACCCACATTGCTGGCATCCGAATAAGACAAAAGCTCTATCTTCGGGGAGGGCCTCCAGATTGGTTTGCCGCACAAACGAAAGAAATTATCTCTCCAAAAATAAAGTTCCTCTACAGCTTCACGCGTTAAAGCCACCTTGCAGCTAAGGCAATGAACGCTATTAAGGACTGCGGACAAGGCTCGGGTGCGCAAACGCACAATTGGACCTAAAGCGAGCTCCATGGAAATAAGGGTACCCGTAATACGAGACACATCCCTAGCCGTGGGTGAAACATCGCCAAGAAGCAGTGAAATCAGATTAAACAGGTGATCAATCTTGCCTGGTGGGATACTAAATTCTCCTTTGGTAAGGTCCAAAATAAAGCCTAAGTGCTCCCCTTTTTGGCGCGGTTCAAAATTGCTCTTCTCCTCATTCACTAGCAGGCCAAGGCGATAAAGATCGCCTCGCACAAGTTGCGCTTCCTGAGAACACGAATCTTTACTTGAATCGGTGCCGATACCGTCGTCCAAATAGACAGAAATCCTAATGCCTTGTGACCGCCAGTGTGAAACAACTGGTCTTAACAATTTGGTGAAAACGTAAGGAGACGTACTTAAACCAAAAGGAAGCGAACAAAACATCGAAAGTAAACGAAAAAGCCAAATACTTCCAATGCTCTTGAAAAATGTCAACATGATGGTAGCCATTACGAAGATCGAAAGTAAAAAACCAATCACCTGGCTGAAGAATTTCCGCCACGACTCGAAGGTCTTCGAACTTAAACTTACGCTTGGCTAGGTGCTTGTTAAGAAAGCGAAGGTCGAGAATCAATCGACGTTTGCCATTATTTTTAGGAACTACACCTAAGGGACTGCAAACATGAACTTGATCACGCTTGACTTCCACCGCACTACCCGCCAACAACAACAGCTCGATAGCTTCACAAACAAAAGCTCTATTATCAACAGCGCTTTTATGATTACCAAAGAAATACCTCAATGGAATTGAAACAAATGGTAACTTATAACCGCTTTCAATAACACTAAGAACAAAAGAAGAGGCCCCAATAGAACGCCAAACATGCAAAAACTTGCGCAAGCGGCCTCGAATCCAAAATACTGAGGAAACGCCCGTGTCAAGTTCAGCCTCGCCGCGATCCGAAAATTCGTCAAAATCAGAGTCAGCTAGTCACTTAGCGGAAGAGGACACTTTACAATCCTTGATAAAATGGCCCGCTTTGCCACAACCAAAGCAGCGATAAACAGAAGCTTTTTTCTCCGGTAGAGGATTAACCAAAAGCTGACCGACATCTGGGCGGAAATCCACGATTCTATGTGATGGGCCAAAGTTAGCACCGAGGCCGCTTTTGGAAGACGTAGACTGAGACTTAAAACGAGTTCCCATTTTGCTTCTCAGACTATTTTTTCGATTTCGTTTCTCCCGAGACCTCTCTGCTTCCT